TCGTTATAATTTAAGGTATACAATTTGCATAAATTGACAATTTATGTGTGGCTCTTCTGCATCTGTACAGATTTAAACTAAATATGTAAGCTTATATGATACCTAAAGACGTTACATATAATGAAGTGATCGGACTGAGTTTCTTCACTATATCGAGAGGATTTTTATATAAACTGTTAACAAGTTCACTATAACGAGAGTGACTTTGTATATATAAAACCTGACTTTTTACTAAGCAATTCGAATTTTGTGTAGATGCATGCACATTGCTTTAGGTGTTAGTATGATTCCTTTGTACTGTACAGTGAACGTGTGAGTGCTTTCCTTAAAACTGTGTTTACGTTTACAATAATTGATTTATGCCGGCCAATCAGACAAACTTCTTATACTGAAATATAGTATGTGTTACAATCTTTACGACAAACGATTTCGATCTATCGTTAACGTTAATTGTACTTTTTTTTTTTTTTTTGCAATAAATTTGAAGTTTAATTAAAAACATTAATATACGCTAAGTGAAACTGCTAGAGTAAGGTTTAATACGAATAGCTATTCATACCTTCAAGACTCCACTGAACCCGAAATGAACCAACAAGGACAAAATGGTACCTCGGAAATTAAAGACTTGGGAGTGACTCCTACTTTACAACATCTAAGCGATTTTAGTGAAAAATGTACTACAATCAAAAAACTTTCTACAGAAATTTTACAAAAAGCGGAAAAGGATGCCGCTAAAAAGGTTTGTAATTCATTTTACAAATAAATGTAATAAAAGTTTATATGATTAATTCTAGTTTTTATACCTAGCCTGCTTTAGTTGGTTCGTCGAGCTTAATAACAGATCCTTCAATTCAAGCTGCCAAACAACAATTAGCCCGTTCGTTTATTCAACTCAGAGGGTTGAATCGTACTGCAATGTTGGAAAAAAGCAGTGATAAATTGACCACTCAAGAAGCAAAACTATCAATGGATCGAATCCATTTACAATTACAAGATTTGAACTATATGAAAACATTCCTTCAAAGAGAAATTCGCAGATGTAAATCGTTCAGGTTTGTTAATGTCTCATTATAGGTGTATGGTTAGAATTAACATT